TCTCAACAAATGGACCTGCAAAATCCACGTAGACATCCATCCCCGGTTCCAGTGCATGCCAGAAGGGCGACGCGACGCACATCGGGGACAAGACTGTGTCCAGTACTCACAGTCGGGGAGCACGCGGCCCCAAACAAAGCACCGGCGAAGCTTATCACAGGTCTTAGTGGCATGAAGGTGCCCGGACAATGGGGAATCGTGAAAACGAGAGAACGCCCGCTGCCTCCACCCCCCCACCGAAGGAAGTACGGGCACTTCCAAGGGAAGATGGATCCGGCGGCAAAGAAGGCCACGGTCATTCAAGGAATGCTTCGCCGCGGCCGATCTCAGCCTCCAATCTTCTCCGCTCGCTTCTCTCCAGCCTTGCACCTCAGGTAGTTCAACAACTCCCAAGTTTCAGCATCGCTCTCCTGATCCCTAAACAAGCTCTGGGCGTTACGATTCGCCTCGAGAGGTGGCGGGATAACGTGGGCTATTGGATTGATGCTCGAGCAAGACAGATGTCCGAGGCGGTTAGGCGACTCCGAAAGTCGATCCTCACTGGGATCATGACTATGATTCGTGAGGTATGCCACTGCAATGTTTTGGGTCAGGCGTTGCCGGAAGCCTTTACGCCGCAGAGCAAGTTGCGACCTAGTGTTTTGGTTGCCCCGGCGTCCGCCCGCAAGAAACCGGTAGCGTTTGGGATGGGCTTACCGAGCATTTGGGTTTGAACCGGGTGCTCTCACTCGCGGAAGCCATTCCGCTTAAGGAGGCTTTAGCCGCCTCTGCGTGCCCTAAAAGGCTTGAGGCTGAAGGGGTTGCGTTCTGTGTCGTATGTGGGAAGAAAGCGCAGCTGCATCGCTGTGGGCTTTGCGGAGGTCCCCTCCATCTCACATGTGCAAAGAATGGAGCCGTTGTGAGCGACGACGAGCCAGGCGTGGGCCTTGCGATGCTCTCGCTGCGGAATACGACCTTCGTCACCCTATTAGGCGCACCACTGCACCACAGCCGACTGATCTGCCTCGAGGTAGACCTCGGCATCTAACATGGCACGGAGTGGGACCTCAAACCGACACTCCGTCCCGTCTGGTCAAAAACTTTCGCGCCCCAGTCTCGGCAAGGCCTTGGAGACATCCTTTGCACGCTACTTGGCTATGACTGAGGAGAAGCGCTGTACGATCGTGGCCACGCGCGACGTGATTGGGTGATTAGAGAACATGTGTGGCGACACCCCCCCCGTGCGCCTTGGTGGCAAATTTCAGCCGCAGCGAGCCAGTTCCAGCTCGTGTTTTCGTCTACGACACCGATCTTGAGCGACGATCCGTTGGTCAGATTGTGGGTGGGCAGAGTCCTGCTCCCTTGCCTGGGCCAAGGGTAAGTTTGGTGCCATGAGTGCTGGAGCCCTAGCGCTGTACCGGCCCAAGAAAGAGCTAGTGGTTGGCAGGGTGCTCCAGAATCTGCGAGACTCAAAGTGGCGCTGCAGCGCTACCCCAGTCCGTTGGAGCCCAGCCCGGGTAAATCCCAAGACGGTGTCACACCGGAGTCTCTTCCGTGAGGCGCAGATAGGTGCTCTGAGGTACTCCGATCTGTCGCGCCTTCCGAGGTAATTGACCCTGAGGCTGTAGGAGCTCTGGATGGTGAAGGAGATGACGTTGCGCCGGTCCTAGATCAAGACCGTGCGTTCGCTGTTTCTGATGCTGCGGCTTGGGTGCCTCCGAAGACACAGGTGCCTTATGTCTCGCGGTGGACGGCCACCCATCTGCCATCCGACGCAGCCGCCGCCAAGCGGCAGGCGAGAGCCCAGCAAAATCGATACGCGGACGTGCGCATGCCTGATGCTTGTTTTGTCCCCGTGGAGGTAAAAATGATATGGATGGAGGGCGTGGCACCCCTTCAAGAAGAGGCAGGGCCGGGTCGAGATCCGAACACACTTCTGTTGCCGACGAGAGTCAGGCCGGGATCATCCACGCGTGTGGGGCGGCGAAAGCGTAGAAGGCGAAAGGCCAACAAAATCTCCAACAAAGGGCCCAACAAGATCTCAAGTGGAGATGAGGTGGACGAAGAAAACCCCGTTGAGCCCGCCGAGCACGCCGAAGTTTCCTTCGAGCCGTCTGCGCCCGCTGACGGACCTGCTGAAGTGGTGGATCACCCCGAGGAGGCCATGCCTGTGGATGATGATGAGGAGCAGGATGGAGCAGGAGAGCCCGTCAACAGTGGTTCGGCGTATGGGATTCCATGCCACTGAAGGCGCTCAGGACGCGGTAAGATCCTTCCGCAGAAAGCGTACGAGAGAGGGGAGGGCCAGATCGATGAGCCTCGTCGCTGCGCCGGGCCCGGTCAATACCGGCCCAAGAGGCCGAGCCGAAGCGACGCAGGCGCCCTTGGACCCTAAATGAAGGTCTTGCCACTGTTCGGCTAAAGTTGCACGGGGTCAGACAAGGGCGCCAAGGATGTGGAGGTGAACCCCGACATTGTCGCTCAGGACAATGATACCGACATTGTCGCCCAGGAATCCGAGCGAGTACGGCCACATAAAATCAAACCGTTGGAGAGGCCCAGCCAGAGTCCAGTCCAGATGCGCCCGGAACCCCCGAGCCGAGTACCCCACCGTTCTGGCACTAATCTGTGCTAGCTACACCGGGTATTTGGGCGAGCCTGGGCATCCAGACACTACTCCGCGGTAGAGTGGGCGCAGCATTTCCCCCAAGCCGTCGTGGATGATGACTAGTAGCACTACGCCGGACTATGCCGACGGCGAGGACGACGACTGGGGCTGGTGGAAGGGTGCACCACCGGCCAGGGCCGCGGACAGCGTCTTGCAGACCCTAGTCGGTCCATATGGCGCCAACGGAGCCCGTGCTCGGAAGTACGAGAAGCGTCTCGAGACCTCCGCAAGAAACATGGGAAGAAGCCGAAAGAGGCAGCCGAGCAGGGGACTGGCTCTAGTGCGTCACTTCTTTGGCTTGGCGACAGCCGGCCTGATCTTTCACCAAGAATCAGACCTATGGCTGCGCCAGGACGGTCCGCGCCGTCTGCTCAGCGAAGCAAATGCTTCGTCGCAGCGGCCAAGAGCCCGAGGCTAACATCGAGGCCGAGGCCGAGGCTGTTGTCGTGTTTGAGCCGGAACCAAGCTTCCGCAACTGCGCATTCTCCTTCCTAACAACTCAAGTTCAAAAAGTGTACCGCCTGACACAGCTGTGGCTGGGGAGAATGCGCCAGAGGTGAGCGCTGGGCTCGCGCCGTCGGGCGCGGGAGCAAGATCGCTCGAGGCGACGTGGGGTAGACAGCTGGCGCACGACTTCTTAAGGGCGCTTTCTCGGCATGGAAAGAAGCATCTCGCCCTTATCACTAGACGTCTCGTGGGCGGCCAGCAGCAACCCTATGCACAATGGCACGCGCTGCGATCGCCTTTTCTGCCTGACCACTGCCCTCGATACTGTCCATCATAGACTCAATCCTCCTCGTGACCTCCTGCTTGTCGGAAAAGGCCAAATCACCCAAACTTAAACCTATGCGGCAGTACACGGGACCTGGAAAGGTCGGAGACGCGCGCTGCGGGCTTGCAGGCTCAAGCGCGGGCGCAGCATGCATTGCGCCAGGCGGCGCAAAACAAGGTGCCGGCGGTTTTCAGTTTTCAATCCTGCGGCGTATCTTCCGTAACCCTCCTTCCCGACAGCCAACGGCTCGAGCACGTTGCGCGCGACATCACTCCGGGCACGGATTCCCAGGGCGGCGCTGCCACAGGGGACGGGAATCCAGTTGCCATTATGGCCACAGCGTACACCTACGATTGTGATCAGGTGACTCCGGCGCTGTGCGCCGCGGCCGAGGCTGGAACCAAAGCCTTTTTACTCGTTGATGAGAAGAACAGTCGTTCTTGCAACGACTCGCTTCCACGCCTGCAGAGCTTAAGGGAGCCTGGTGTAGAAGTCCACGTTATATCGGGGAAACCGCTGTCGCTCGTCTATCCCCGACAGACCGGTTGGTCTGGAGCGTTACACGCTAAAACGCTCTTAGTGGACTGCTGGTCAACCACGAGCATCTACGCCGGGTCACACAATTCTACCCGAGCTAGCAGGTGTAATTTTGAAATGGTCATGCGCTACGAAACAGCGGAAGCCGAGGGAGACTCTCGCGTGGAGACCTACAAGGCTTGGCTGTCTGATTTGTGGGATCGTTCTGTCCCCGCAAAGTTGAGCTTCGAGCCGAGGCGTAGGCTTCGAGAGAAAGGGCCGCCTAAAGGCCTGAGCTGAGCGCGCATTGTGAGCAAGTGGTAGCCCGTAGGTTAGCCGGTCTAGATTACGCCGCTTGCACTGAATCGGGGATCCATGTCTCTTTAAAACTCGGGGCTGCTGGAAGCGGCTGTGCTTGTGTGACAGAGACATGTCCCCTCGCTTCGTGCGTTGCGTAGGTTGCATTTTGCAGCAAGCATCATTGTAACATGTGATGCAGCGACGTAGCAATTGCATGTCGTTTGCTCTTGCCTTTGCACAGCTTGCCGTCAACCCGACTGCAGCTGTGGACACGCTCGAACGTAGGCCGTAGCTCAAAGCAGTTTGTATAGCTGAGCTATTTGCCGAAGGCAACGAACCCGCCATAGTGCTTGTTAACGTACTGCAGCTGCGCAGCAAGATTTGCGAGCGATCCAATCGGGATCGACTGCACTGTGATCCGGCACTTGCGTGTTGTGCAAGGAAACAATCGGTTGACCGAGTGACTGCGCTAAGCCAAGCTTTCCCAAGTAGTCTGCCTTGGACGTTTCCACTAGTACTAGTAGTCGTAGTCGTAGTCGTAGTCGTCGTCGTCGTCGTCGTCGTCGTCGTCGTCGTCGTCGTCGTCGTTGTTGTTGTTGTTACCACACGCCCCAAGATGATTATGTTCGTGCTAACATGCACAAAACATCGGTGTTTGTAGTGTTGTTGCTTTTTGGGTTACCACACTTACCTGGATGATTATGTGCGTGGTACGAGTGCATCCATTGCCTATCGCAAGTGCCTGATCTCATGCAGACGAGGCACAGGGTTGTTGGGAGCTTGATTTCGTCCTTCAGGGATGAGCATGAAAGGGTTGAGGGCCCATAGGGTTGCGGGCAGAGATTGGGTGCTTCTTTCTATGAGCCGACGTACCTAACTCCAGGAACTTGTGATACTTGAGCTGTCTGGACCAAGAAATGGTGCCTCTATCAACTGCTCGGCTGAAATCATGTAGCAACCCCACCCTGGAACCTTAAAGCCCTTCCCACGTGTGGGCCGTGAGGGGCGAAAGTCTACCTTAAGGACTTCTTGTGGTCCCAGCCATCTTAGACCACAAACCTCTGCCCTAAACCCCATAGGCCATAAACCGTGCGCGGCGCCAGCTAAGCCAAGTAGTGTTTCTCCAACAGGCTGCAAGCCCGGTCGCACCTGCATGGCCAGAATGCATTGTTTCCAGCCCACCTCGGATACTGCGTCCGAGTCCGAAGGAAGTCCGGGTCCGAAGGCACGTTTGTATACAAGGTGCTCATACCAGGTAGGCAAAGCTTTAAAAAAAACCTTTAAAACACACGAAAAACGTGCAACAAGAAATAATACACAAAAAGCCCCACCAAAAAAAAACAAGAAAACCCAAAAAACAAAAAAAAAATCCTGATGGACTCTGTTGGGGAGCCGGACCCCTGGGAAGAGTCTCTCAGGATTGTTTTTTTTGGTTTTTTGTCTTTTTTGGTTTTTGGGGAATTCTTGTGCAAGAAAACCAAAAAAACCAAAAAAAAAACAATCCTGAGGGACTCTGTTGGGGAGCCGCACCCCTGGGAAGAGTTTCTCAGGATTGGCTTTTTTGGTTTCTTTGGTTTTTTTGGTTGTGGGGAAATTCTTGTGCAAGAAAACGAAAAAATCCAAAAAAAGCCAGAACAACCAAAAAAACCAATCCTGAGGGACTCTGTTGGGGAGCCGGACCCCTGGGAAGAGTCTCTCAGGATTGGTTTTTTTGGGGTTTTTTGTCTTTTTTGGTTTTTGGGGAATTCTTGTGCAAGAAAACCAAAAAAACCAAAAAAAAACAATCCTGAGGGACTCTGGTTTTTGGTTTCTTTTGATTTTTTGGTTTTGGGGAAATTCTTGTGCAAGAAAACCAAAAAATCCAAAACAGCCAAAACAACCAAAAAAACAAAAAAAACAATCCTGAGGGACTCTGTTGGGGAGCCGGACCCCTGGGGAAGAGTCTCTCAGGATTGCTTTTTTTTGGTGTTTTTGAGGATTTTTGTGTACTATTAGAGATTTTTTCTGTACTTATTTTCTTTTTTTACGGTTTTTCGGTGTCTTGTGAAGGGTGTTTTTTGGGTTTTCTTTCGGCTTTTTGGTGTTATTTCATTTTTGTATGCTTTTTTGTACAGTTGTTTTTGGTATTTGTGTTTTGTGTGTGCTTTTATATTTCTGAGTGCCCCTTGTACGTGACAAAAGCACTAACATGGACAATCAAGAGCACCGCATTATGTGTTTCTCTCATCTGGTGGGCGGTGAACGAAATGTCCCGACGCTTGCGAGCCAGAGACGTGACAAAATTCTCTCTAGGTCCTGCTTTGCACAAATTTGAACAACATTGATATATTATCCATGAATTTCGTGCTCCCAGCTACATGGTTTGAAAAGCAAGGATTTTTTGGAAAACATTGGTTTTTTCCGATGTTTTTCGGCTCCATCCTTCAAAACATTGGTAAAACCAATGTTATCATCCATGAATTTCGCGCTCGCAGCCATATGGTTTGAAAACCGTGGATGTTTTGGAAAACGTCGGTTCTAGCACTGTTTTTCGGCTCAACATCAGTAAAACCAATGTTTTCCATGAATTTCGTGATCTGAGGCTCTCTCCCAGCCACCATTTCTCGAGGAGGTACCAAAAAACAAACCCAAATCCTCCAAAATCTCGAGAGAGTACCAAAACCTCCATATAATCAATCACGCCCATCAGTCACGCCCCACTACGCAAGACATGACATCTATCCTAAAAACCATACCTCAGCTAGGATATCTCAAGCAATCATCCCCGAATAAGCAAAACCTAATATCTATACTAAACACTGTAGCTTGGCAACATATTTTAAGACATCACGCCCTAAGGCTGCTACCAACTTAATAAGGTTCCTAACAATTTAAACAGGGTTCTTATTCATGTTACTGGGATTCGCAAAGGGTGTTTAATTAATTTTAAGGATTAGGCTCATATTAGTTTAGTAGGATTCCAATTAGTTCTTGTTAAAGGATTCTATTGTTTTCAGACCTATTGGTTCCTATTCATTTTAGTAAGATTCCTTCTCGTGTTAACAGGATTCCTGTGAATTGTAACCCAGGTTCTTTTTGATTTGTCAAGGGTTCCTATTCATTTTAATAGTCTTCCGTCCTATTAACTGTTTTCCGGTTCCGATAATTCAATAGAGGGTTCCTATTCATTTTCATAGGGTTCCTAATTATTCTAATAAGGCTCCTACTCATGTAGTAAGATTCCTACCAATTTTAATCAGATTCTTGTTTATGTTAATGGGACTCGTATTAATCTTAATAGGGATCTCATTCACGTTAAAGGGGTTCCTATTGGTTTAGGCTCATGTTCATTCTGGTAGGATTCTTATTAAATTAAACTAAGGGTTCACATTATTTTTATAGGAGTCCGATTGGTTCGTATTAATTGTAGTAGGGTTCCTCTTCAGTTCAATAGAATTCCTATTAATTCTACGAGGATTCTCAAGTTCATACGGATTTAAATAGAGGATTCCGGTTGTTGTTTCTAGGATTCCAATAAAGTTGGCCCATTTAGTTTGAAAACGGGGACAGGACGTACACTGTATCGATGCTTTGTGTTTGCGCACTTGCATGGTGTGCATGACTCGAGATTTTGTTTATATAAAATACGGGTACGCTGTGAGAGTGTTTGTTAAATATCTTTAAATGTCAAGTAGAAAAAAGTGCACTCCCACAGCGTCCCGGTCTCGAAGTAAACACTGCCTGGACTCGAGAAGCCGACGACGCACACGGGGCTTTTTCTCCTACAAGTTTTAGAGGTACGCAGGGTAGCTGGGGAATAGACTTCTACAAAGCTATACAAAGTACGGACACAGAAAACTGACTACCTGAAGGCGTCAATCAATGAACACCCAGTGCGCAAATGTACTTGGAGGGAGAATGTGACAGACCACCTTCAACATCTGGAGGAGGACGTCAAATGGCATGACGTCGTCATGCTACTCCCCATTGTAATGGAATCATCCTCTTCAGTCGAGGTGCACACATCTGGTCGTAGCCCACGGATTGGTCCTGCTGTTGCCGTTACATGATGGGACGGATGCGGAGGCCGAGAACAATACGCTTCTGTCCAAGACTTGAAGCGGCTGTCATCTTTAAGAGCGACATTGGACTGAAAACGTCTGGCTTCTAATGTAGGGCTGCAGTGCTTCTGAAATAGGTTAAACATGTGTGGCAGGCCCTAAAGACTCACTGAATCGCGAGTATGTTTGTCTCTTCATTCTCTGCCATGGGATTGGGAGGACCTGGCGACGTGATGAATACAGGATCGCGCACAAAAGTTTCGCCATCGAGCCAATACAACCTACACTACCTCTTGGGCTGCGTTGCCAAGGATCTCAAAGAAGGCGAGACCTGAACTGACTGTCTTTCATCCGATCCATGAGCCTGAGTCCTGAGTGCAATGAAGAACCGAAGGAATCGTGACCGCATGTAACCATTACCCTTCTCCAAGATGCAACGCCCCAAGCCGTGCAAGGGATCATACGATCATACGGCATACAACAGGCCCTTTAAACTCGGGGACGTGACCAATGAACAGTGCATCCTTGAAAAGGTTTGCACACGGAATGACGGCATGGGTGGTCCAGGGACTGTAGTGAGGCATGAATTAGAGACTACTATACGGATCGAGTCCTGCATGCCCCAAAATGAAGTCTCTGAAGCCCTTACACACTTACCCACGGGCCTCCAAGAGTTTTCTGGCTCTCAACTCCTGGAGAGGCTGGACCAGGAGCATCAAACAGGTTGAAGTTTGGCTCATGGGCTAGGCATGTGACGACACACTGGCGCTCACTACCGGGGAAGTCTTGGGAATGACGACGAATAGGAGTCATCATCAAGACCATGACCCTACAAGCCCCGCACCCTCCGTAAAATGAACTCCCCTACGTAGATAACGAACGATACGGGGTGTAATGTAGAATGAGTTACATAAACGAACAATACCTTGTAGTTGTGCAGGAGTGCTACTGGTGTGTTGGGGCATATTCTGGGTTGTGAAAACTGCAGCCCTGGTTACCTTGTCCTGAAAATCCCTCCTCGAAAGTCCTATCCCACAATTAAGGTAAGCGGGCACCTGACGTGGAATGTGCTCGATGAGTTCAATTCAGCATGTTTCACTCCATACGCAATGTTCGATGCCAAGGTCGAGACTCCACTATCCCCAGACCATTTTCGTCTCCCGAATGGTTGAAGTTCAGATGCTGTAGAAGTGAAATACCTTGGTAGGAAGCCTTCGGTCCCAGTCCTACATTTCCTATTTAAAATTACTCTTTTTAAGGCGGCGGGCTGGGTTGACGTCGGCAATCGGGATTGCAACCCTCTGCGGGTTTCGGCGTGGTCGCGGTGCTAAAACCATCGTTTTTGACGTTTCTTGCACGGGCCATGCTCCACAAAAACCCCAGGATGCAATGCTTTACATATGCGCACTATACAAAGTCCACCTCAGCTCTTCAAAGTTCTCATTCTACAGTTTTCATACCGATTGCAAACAAACGCGGCGCGTCAGTTGCAATGTGTGTGTGTGTGTTCGGGGTCTACGCTGGCATGAAGTCGGGTAGTGTATATTTCTACCATAAGGTACTTCTCATAGGTTGTGTAGGGATGTCGGACATTTCGGATTATGTAAACGCCCTTTCCATCTTGTGAATGCAAGGTTTCCTCGCTTGCTTTCATTTGACCCTTCTGTCGTTTTGCTTCATTGCCATAAGTCACGGTTGCTACTCTTGCTTCTCCTGCGTCCATCAGTAGGATACCTGAAAGGATTGAAGCTGCCAAGCACCCGCATTGTGAACGGGAAGCATGGACTTCAGCTGGGCACATCTTGGCACCCGGCGCCTGCCATGGACGATCTCAGGTCTCGCGCAAGAGGCGTGCTGTCTGGCACACGCATCACGAGCTGCGAAGCAGCAAGCAGGCTGGCATCGCGCAAGGTAGTTGTTGATGTCCGGGTTTGTTTGCTGCAACTCTTTAGCGATAGCAACTGCTTCCGAGGAGGCGCATACTTCGGAAACTGTGAACTGGCAAACGATCTAGGCCTGAAGTTTGTCTGAGGGTTTAATTCTGTTGATAGGGCTGAAAAGGCGCTGGAACGCGCACATACACTCACGCTCCCCTCAAGGCATCTTGAAGTCTTGAGCCTCAGAGGATGGCCATGCCAAAGTCGTCCCTAAGATTGGTGCTCACAGCATATAACAGCTGCATTAGTATATGACTTATCGCAATCGCACGTGCATCCCTCCGTCCGTTCACTTGGGGTGACAACATTCGCTGCCACGCCGCCTCACGCGGCAAACGAGTTATTCTTTCTCTTGTTCCGTTCCTTTCTCGTCCCCATCTTCCAAGTTTTTATCAAACCAGGTCTACATTCGCCGACCTTGGTGGCATGCTGGACGGGGTTCAGAGGTGCAAACTTTTCGCTCCTTGCCCCGCAAACCGTGGAGGGCCGGGAAAACATAGTGAATGCAAGGACTCTCACGTCAAAGGCTCAGGGCCCCCGCTGGTTGCTACATTCATTTTCACCCGCTTCTCAACATTTTTGAGAGTTCTATCCATCTCATCTGCTTAGTTAGCATAGGCATATGCTCAGTTCAGCATTGCTCGGTTTAGTGTAGGTGTATGCTCGGTTTAGCATGGGCATATGCTCCGCTGAGCATCCCCCTATGCACCTTTGAGCATCCCCCTATGCTCCGGCATTCCCCCTGTGCTCGCTTTAGGATACCCTCTGCCCACAAGCACAGGCATATGCTCGGTTTGGCATAGGCATATGCTCGGTTTAGCATGGGTACATGCTTCTTTCAATATGCTCGGTTTAGGTGCGTGCTCGGTTCAATATGCTCGGTTGAAGAAGCAAGCATAATATTAACCAATGAATACTATTCATGGTTGAAAACAATGAAAGGCACCAACAACAGAACCAAGCTCCCGAAATGCACCTAAAGAACTTAAGAATTTCAAAGCGAATGAGGTGCGACACGAAGCCACGGAAAAGAACAACACGAATGAGGTAAGACATGTTCAATAATTTGATTTATTCTTGAAATTAGTATACAGACCGAATGAGCAAGTTAAAGGACCGGAAAACCCCACATGCAAAGTAAGCCATGTGCTTGGGTGCCTTGCAAGAACTTCGCATCTCATGCCCAGATGGCGCACTCAGCGGACTTATTACACACATTACATTGGCTTCTTACCGAGGTGTCGTGTCAGTTCATCTATGGATTTACAGATTTACATGCCCTGGCGTAAGCCTACGGAGGCAAAAGGGCCAAGGGTTTTCGCACGCTGCATTTTGGTGGTCCCAGGCACGTGGTACAGCAATCCTCAGCACAGCATCCCTGGGACGACCTGCCACCAGACAGCGCGGAATGGAGCAGTATGGTCGGATATGGACGGACTGCAGATTGAAATTTGGAAAACAACACGCATGTGTGGGGTGGTTCTAAAGGTCCTTTACAAGGATGGAGAAACAGGGAACCTACCTTTTGGTCATTTTGGGGACAGGTATTTGGAACAACTACCATGTATGTGCATGGTGTGCATGTTCGAATTGCGAGACTATTGCGAGTTGCTGCCGCAGAGTCTCCGCAGATAAACATGACAGGACGGCATTCTCGTCGCAAACGGATCCTCGTGACCTGAATCTGGGGGAAGCAGCAGAAGCTGCGCAATGCTGTTCAGCTCCTGCATGAAAATGCGTACACCTGCTCCTGAGGCTGTGGACAGATTCTTCTGCCTTGCTCTTAGGCACCACTAAAGACCACCAAGATCACTAGATCACTGAGCGTGGGGCCGCTTGTAGCCATCGCGTTGCTCGAGATTACTCCCCAAAAGTCCATAAACCAACCAAAAGTAGGACGCCTTCGCCAGGCACGAAGGAATCCAACACAGGCAGAAAGCAAGCGACCCGATTCCTGCACAGCATCTGCATCGGCGCCGTGCATTGCTCAAGAGATAGCCGTAGAAAATGCTGCCTGACACATGTTCGTGTAAAGTAACGCCTTGCCACTGAAGCACTATGGGCTCTCGAGGCTATCAGTGGACGCCCCCTGCAAGATCGTTTAAGAGACAACCTCAACCCTTCCGGGACGGAGGGACTTTCTGTCCACGAGCTCGCTCGAGCCAGGACCCCAGGAGGCATTGTCGCTCAGGAAGTAAGTTAGGAGGATTTCACGTTTGTGGGGTATTGACTTGCTGGCCTGTCCCCGCATCCTAACATGACTCTGGCTTTTTTGGTTTCTCACTGCCAGGTCTCCAGGTCTGGAGAAAGGCACGGCAGGAAGATGCCTCGCTGAATTTGGGTCAGCTTCTCGTGTGAGAACTCTGAAACTGCGAATTTTGTCAGCCAGACGTTTCCGCAGGGCAAAAGGTAAGCCCACACACAGGAGAGGCATGGCCGGCAAGGTTTCAGTCACATCTGTCACCCTCGGCGCCGTTGAAGCTCTGTGGTGTCACTAGGGACACGGCTGACTGCCAACTGCCGAGCTATAGCCACTATGTGTCAGTATTGTCAATGCTCCCATGCATGCAGGGACCCATTCGCTACTAGGCTGCAGTTCGGAAACTAGCTTGACAGCTATGGCTCAGCTGGGCCGCACAACGCATCAAAAAAGAAGCTCTCGCATTGTGCATGCTGCCGCGCTGCCAAACATTGCCAAACGGCGCGGCGTCCATTCCCTCATCATGCCGACTCTTTGGCCCCCTTGCCAAGCATGGCCACGAATGGGTGCACAAGGTCGCAGGAAAATCTCAGAGTCTGCGTTGCCTTGTAACGTCCGGCAACAGCATGACGCCACCCAACCCTGTAGCTTGCTGCCGCAAGCTCTTGCCAAACGTCTGGTGTGTTGATGGTGGCTCAACGGCATCGGCAATAGCCTGAAGTACAGTCGAATCCCAAACAAAAATCTTTTGGGTGCTCATGGAACCGCCGCGTTGTAGCAAAAACGCGCCGCCATTCTCGACGAAGAGGAGCGATGCTGCGACGCGGCTCATCCTTGGAGACATAGGCCTTCAGCGCACCGGGTCCAGCGGCCAGCGCAGCGACTTTGACAGGTTCTCGCATTGCCTGAATCTTGCGAACTTTAGGAATGGTCACAGGGTGCGAGGTGCTGGTGCCTTCGGGGTCTGAGGGGGTTTCCAATGGTTTCGGCTGGAGGAGATCTGAGCCCTCGACCGCGAAGTCCTCACAGTCCTCATAGTCACAGAGGTGCCTGGCCTTGACAGCTTGATCTTGTTTGCTTGATTTGCAAGTGCCAAACTGTGAGTGCCCGTCATGTGCTGAATCACCCTTCCATCACCCTTCAAACGACCCTTCTCCGACTCTTTTTGACCCTTCCGCGACCCTTCTCGTCCTGCCTGCAGACATCCAGGCATGGATCTGCGCAGCGAGCTGCATCTGCTGCTGCATCGCCAGCTGCTGCGGACTTGGCACCAAGAGAATGGCGGGAACGGCCAGTATTGTAGTAGCGTTTTGGAGGCTTCTGCCCGTGTGACCGAAGCTTGAGTTCATGCAGCTCCTGAAATACTTGCGTCAGGTTTTGCACTTTGGGAACGGCTAGCCCAAATGACTGAGGCTCCCGGAGCCTGGGCTGCATGACATGAACTGCGCCTGAAAAAGTACCTGGTGTTCTACTCCCAAAGTGGGTCAATGAGCACAACACAAAGCTTGAAGTCGACGGGCTCCGGGCTCCAGGGCAGGCGGAGGGGACCCGGAAGCTGCCAAAGGTTGAGACCTTGTAGAGTCTGTGGCTGTGCACGGCTGCGACGATTGGGGATTGGGGCCAAACACCGCCGGAGGGCTGCAGGAGGTAACACGAGTGCATACAAGTACTGTCAGTGCTGCAGGTGTTGTAGAGTCGTTGTAGAACTACGCGGAACTTGTGGGATTTTGTGGGCTAGCCTTGACAAACTTGAGAAACTAATCAGGCGAGCCCCCATGGAAGCCGCCAAATTACCACATGAAGACTTACAGATCTTCAGGATTAAGGTCAACAATGCACAAGCAAAGATGTCGAGAGCGTTCTTGCTCTAAGGCCCCTGCATGCGGCTGTAGAGGTTCAGCAGTGACTGGAGAGTGGCGAGCTGCTGTGCCTTCGAAGCGCAAAGATCAAAGAAGCTGTCATGCTCACATACCACCTCACACCTGAATGCAGCTCAAGGTACCTGCAGCTGCTGAAGTTGAAGCTGCTGGACCTGCAACTGCCTCAGCAAGCAGGGCGACAGAAGTCAATGATATGTAGCACGCTGACGCACCCTTGGCATTCGTAACGTGGTGTAGGGATAGGTCAGCCAGGCCGTACTGGGGTCGACCAAAATGGACTTAAGTGCCGTCGCGAAGCTGCGCTTGGAGATGCACGTTTAGGAGCTGCTGGTTCTGTGCGGACGGGACCTGTCGGGACTGAAGACGACTGAAACCCTGGGCCCTCATGCGCACTTAAGGATAATTACACCGGATAAACCAGATAAACCTCTGACACATCCCGAAGCCCTGAAGCATGGCTGGACAACTGAAACTGCCTGGACAGCCTCGGAAAGCTGCAGCTGCATGCCTGCCAAGCAGGCACCGACGTGCGACTCATGATGACTCAATAAACGGTCAGGGGCCACAAAGGCTTCACAGGGCTCCAAACCCCTCAGACCAACTTGCGCCCCTCATTGGGATCCCAGTGCTCTGATCTCAGCAACACGCACAACATGCAAACTACGTATGATCGTTCCCAAGTCATGTGGGAGCAGTTCTACCAACTTCGCCGCTGTAAGCCATGGGCCAAATCAAATACAAACGGACCTAGATTAAACTCTAGACTCTAAACACCTGCTACCTAGAAGACTGGAACGCGCTGGTCCTGGGACGAGCTGGACCTCCATGGGCAAGCAACCAGCCTGCGAAGAACTGCGGAAGCCACTCAGGCACCTAGCGACTTCCAGAGTCACCCCGAACCCAGCCTGCATCTCAGGTGGCTCCGGCCCTGCAGATTACAGAGACCAGGAGGTTTTTAGCGAGCCCGAAGGTGGAGGAGGAAGATGCCAGAGGAATGTACATGTGTCGAGAGAATCGAGCTCCCTGTATTCCTTGTGCTCGTAACAGCCATGCAATGTCAACCTCTACAGCTGTGGTACCTGCTGCAACGCTAGATTCATATTGAGAACTTGCCAAGTCTGCCTGGAGTTGGGGACTCCGGATTGGCCGGTGGCGAGAGGTCGGGTGTTTGCTCCTCAACATGCGCATGAGCAGTTACAGAATTTGCGCAGGCAAGGCTTCAAGTGGGAGAACGAATCTCCTCCTCCAATTGCTTGGGAGGTATGACGCAGGGAATGTGCTGCCGCGGCGCCTGCCCGCATGAGGCGCAGCGACAAAGCTACGACTGATTGCTAGGTGTTGTCGGGCGGATTCGGGAGTCAGGGGCTTGGCCTCGGGCTCAGCAAAGGCCACCAAGGCACTCATAGCACCTCTGAAATCACATCACACTTGCGAGCAAAAGCTACTAGAGCTTCAGTGAGCAGCACTTGTCACCAGTGTGGCAGCCCCGGCACTGTCTTGCGGCGACTCCTGTTGCCGCTCTTGCTGCTCTCGCTGCTCTCGCTGCCGTTGCAGAAGTTCTTGCCTCTTGGCCCGATCTTCCTGATGCACTGCAGAAGGCCTTTCCTTCACTGACCCTCTCCCAATGCACGAGTCACACTACTGTCACGATTGACGGCTAAAGCCGCGCATTCATGCGCAGACGTCCTCGATTCTCTTCAGCCGGACCCTCCTCTCTTCCTCCTGCTTCTGCAACCTGACTTGAGAGCTTGAAGCTAACTTCTCGCGCATGGGCTACAGAGATGGAGTCTCGCTGACTTCACGATGGACAGCTGGGGCTGAGGCTGAGTGTCAGCGAGGGTCAGGTGGAAGTGGGGAAAGCATCGGGTGACGGGTGGCTACTAAGCAGGCCGTCCTATATGATAATTCGCCCCTCTCCCACCCACCCCACCCACCCTGTGCCCGACTCCACCCTTCCCCCCCCCCCCCCCCCCCCCCACTTCCCCACCCCACCCTTCAACCCTACCCCCTCCTCTACCGGCCGGCTTGTTGTCTTGCCACTCCCACACTTGGGGTTTCTTCACATTTTGGGGGCCTGGTCGATACATGAGCCTGCGTGTTACACCTGGCTTCACACCTGCGATCTCCGGTTTGGGTTGCCTCGCCGCTGGGCATGCCCAGGTCGCGTAGCGCCAAAAACACGTGACAGCGCAGTGAAACTTGCAAACCATAGTGTACACCCCGAATCCCTACCAGAAAGCTCAAGCGCGCTCCCCCATGCATTCTTAAGCCCCCAAAGCACGACAGACCGCAAGCCAGCAATCGCGCTGGACACTTTGGGCAGGCGACTCTAAGCGGCGCTTCTTGTCCGCCAGCTGGGCCATAAGCACACGCTGCTGGTAGTCCTGTGGAGCGGCAGCAGATATCGGCTTGTGGCTTTTCGGCATGGAGACATCGCTTGAGGCATCAATTTCGCGGGCCCCATGACTCAGCAGTGCAATTGAGCGTGCTTAGGACGCTCGAAGATGTAGTGCAAGGGACCCCGCCCCCGTCAACCTGAAACTCTCAACCCAACCCCCTAACAAATTTCCTGCTGGGAAGGCTGGGGCCTCCAGGTTCAGATCCTTCTCGCGCTTGAAGCTCTGGAGGATGTCCTCCGGAATCCTGGGGCTCTAGGGAACCCAAGCCCGATGATGCTGCGATCGGGAGACCTAGACCCAGCTACTCGGGTACGGATGTATTCACACCTGACAGTCCTACAGCTTCTTGGCACTGGCATGACTTCATGAGATGCAAGATGATTCCATGCCGGCTTCTCGTTCCCTTCTCAATCCATATGATTATCTTTCGCACAGTGAAATAATCATTAGAGTCCAGTTCTTAGTGCTGCCCAGGAGCGGCTCCTCGACAAATTGGCCAGTTGCAGGGTCCCAAACACTCCCCGGAGCGAGGTCACCTTCCACACAGCGACATAGGCGAAGGCTCCCAAGGATGGCGAAGCCGTTGGATTTAAGGGCCTTCCCCTTCATACAGTTACGCACGACCGAGCCAGGGCCAGGATTTGCGATGTCAAGGAGTGGTCCAACTGATGCCCTCGCTGCGCATAGTGCACTTGGTGCCGAAACATCTACTCGAGACTCTCATTGCAGCATTGACTGATCCATGCTGGAACCCAGGAATAAGTTGAGATGTAATAACATAGCAAGACCCTTCTGGGTGTTCTCGTGCGCACAAACACATCGAGGGCGTGCCTGTTGCAACTTTTCAATGGAATGCTGAAGCTGGATACCAAGAGACACAACACGATGGTGGGGGTTTGTGGCCGGCACCTGCTTCGCTGGCAGCGCTGGCTCGCGCAGGATCCTCTCAGAATCAGATGGATCTCATGAAGAAGTGGGGAGTGCTGCATCATGTGGTCCACTACTTCGGTCGCGAGGATGGCACAATGGACAAAGTAAGGAGGAGACCTCCCGAAACGGAAAGATGACATTGGCTTTGTTGTTGTGCGACAATCTCTTCCAATGTTTTTGCCACAATGAGTTCTGCAAGCATGCTGTCATTGGAATAACTCTGATCCCCACGGGGGCATGCAAATCCCATAACTTAAAAAGCGAGCATCAACGCATATTAGTGAATTGTAGGGCGTCAGCACGCGCATCTCAAACCCTTCTACCAGCTTTCTCGGAGCCTGTCCTCCTTGCTCGACGCATCTTCCAGAACACTCTGAACCTCACATGACATGGTGAGCCAGCCAACTTATGTGGGACGCCTCGACCTGTGTGTGCCCCCTCTGCGTGTTGCAAGCTCTGGTGGCCACAATGAGTCCAGGGTTGTCCCGCAAGCCTCCATCCGGCCCCTGCGATGTGCAGCACGCTCCCGAGCTGCCTCAGAAGTCAGCCTCACAGTGCGTCGAGGGTTCTGGGTTTTTGGGAGCTCAGCTCAATACAAAAAGCGAGCGACAGAGAGAGAGAGAGAGAGAGAGTGAGAGAGAGAGAGAGAGAAAGAGAGAAAATGAGAGAGACAGATGGGAGTGGGTTTTGAGTCTATAGTTGTCGGAGTTTAGGGGTTTGTCTTGCAGTGAGTGACATTCATCTGCTACGGCCAGGAGTGCTTAAACATGTATGAAGTACTTACTCACTGAAACAGTTTTGCAGCGACATGCCAACTTGAACCGGCATGCACAACCTCACTTCTTCATCGGACTTCAAAAGAAAGAAGTAGGCAAAGCAACCGCTGACTCCGAACAGCAACGATGTCGGCCTCACCCGCCGCTCGGAAGCCTCCAAGCAGGTTCTGGGCGGCTCTTTCGCTGGCTCCTCCTCAAGACTCAAAAGCCCAGAAATCGAGACTGTAAGGAGTGGTGGCACATCGCATGTCTAACAGGACATCGGGTGGGGGTGCAACACTGGCTTAGGAGGTCGGAGGCAAACTTCGAGGTAGTGACACAAACGGGCACAGCAAAGGAAGTAACAAGCACCTTCAAAAACCTCCTCACCATGTAGTTTCCCTTGCAGGCACAGGGCAGACATACACTCACCCTGACTGATTGGCTGATTTCAGGGGTCCTCGTCTTCATAGCTACTGAGCATGGAGCTCAATGTCTTCTTCGGGGGCGGTGCCTCAAGCTTGGGAAAGAGGCGGTCACAAGTCCAGAACACCCAAACACGCCCCAATGTGAAACCGGGCAAACTCCTTGCTCAGCACATTCGCAGCTGCAGCAATATCGACGCGCTAGCTATTGCCAATTTAATTCAGCTACTGCGCAACAACCATTAATTTGGCCCTACTATCCTACCCTGCGACCCTACCACCTTCAGGCAGTCAAAGCTCGCATCTTGTGCGTCAGGGGCATCACATGATTTTCCCAGCTGGAGTCGACAAAAGTCGACAATGGCAAGGCAAGACGAGGTCTCGGCAGTTTCCAGCTGAGGGAAAACTTGTTAAATCGCGCCTTGTACCAGACTTCGCAGCTTGCACCGGAGGTCGCTTGGCTGGCCGGTGGGGAGCTCTCCACTCCCTGCTCACAGGTTGTGAGAAGCTGTGAGAAGCCGAAGTTGACTTCTACCTGCACTGAGTGCAGCAGACCCGCCGTTATCTGCCCTTCTGCGCTTCATTCACTTGGTGCAAAGCCGGCCTTCGCAGTGCTGCTCGTTGGTGGCGCCACCTCACTAGATGCGCGGTTCAGAGGTCGGTGGATGGTAAGTGTTATTTCAATCTGAGGTTGAGAACTTCAGAGCTGGTGTTGCTTCAAGGGGTTGGTGTTTATGAGCACGACCTGAACCCCCCACACCTCAAACTCCAAATCCTAACGCCCGAACCCTAGAACACCGGAGCGGAACCCCCTGAACGCTCTAAACTTGATTTGCTAAGCCCTAAATCCTTACTCCCCACCGGCCCCTGGGTGTTCGGGCACTGGGCATCTTGGCATAAGCCGGCGCCAAGGGCTCGGCTTTGCCTTTGGTAGGGGGTCCAGAAGTTGGGACTGAGATCGTTCGTTGCAAGTCGGATCCAGAGTGGTGACCTACTGCGGGTGGACTCGCAGCAATGTCCCCGCACAGGAACAAAGAGCCAAACAGCACACCATCAGCGCGCAAGCATTCATCGAACTCAAGCCAGAAGTTCACAAACCAGATATGGTACCGTAGGGCCTACGGCTCCAGGCAGAAAGACCCCAAGCCTTCAATGTGATGACAGTCATGTGAGTTCGGGAGGGAAGAACCGAGAAATTATGAATTGAAAAGGCCTCCTTCTTGCAATTGTGTACCGGAACCCGCGTGCCTTCATCCTCCGCCCTCGCAACAGCGTTTTCGGAAGGCTCCCTGGGGCAGTGGGCAGTGGCACAATTTTGCAGGGCTTGAGTTTGGGACATTTATGGCCTCAAAAAGCATCTGAAACCTTTTACGCTCGCTGCTGCTTAGACCTTCTAGGAATGGTGTTCTATGAGGAATGGTATTCTATGCCAGGGAGCTTCTGGCAAGGTAGTGCTTGCAGGTTAAGGAGCTTGGAGCAGCGGTGGTGGCCCGCGAGCGCGATCCCTCAAAGAAACCTTCGGCCTGCACCGGCAAACCACGGAATCCATGTTTGCCAAGAGGCCGGAAGAGTACCTTGAAACAGGACTTGTCCAAGGATGTCTGCCTCTTCGGTTGGACATCTGCCGGCTCCCCGAACCTAGGTGCGCATGGAAATTCAACAGGGGATGTGCAGGTGGGGTTTCTGCTTGTCAGGGATTCAACGTCTGCCACACAAGCGTCGGAACATTGCTGGAACATGCTTGTGGATCACGTGGACTGGTGGACTGCCGCCTAAATTTTGTAAGTATCAGCGTTTCACTGAAGCCGGGCTAGCAAGGAAGCACTGGTCAAGGCCTCAAAGGCGTCAAACAGTGGTAAGGTGCAGTTGCAACCTGTCGGGGACTTTTCTCAGGAATCTTGCGATGTGCATTTAGGCGAATTCGGGTCTTCCTTACGTGTTTAGTTTATGTGGAGCCCGAACCTCCCACCGCAAAGCATCCGAGCCCCCATGCCTGCAGCCGGGAAGCAGCATCTTCACCTTCGGTGGACTCTCCGGGCTCTCCGGGCCTAGGCTCGCTGGACTCCTCGCTGGACTCAGCGCCTTTGGCTCGTGAAACCTGAGACGCTTCGAGCCGGGAGAGTGAGAGAGTGAGAGAGAAGCTTCGTGGAGCCTCTTGGAGCTTCGATGGTTCACACGAGGTTGCAACTTCGTGCGCTCCATGAAACTGGGCCTCCAGCCGAAGCTGAACTAGCTGAGTTCAACCCTGAACACTCCACCCTGAGCCACCCCGCAAGCGCTTGAATGTGGCCGCCTCGGGCTGTGGGGCTGCCTGACACGGCGTTGGTTCATCTGGGATTCTGCATCGAGACTCTGAACCCTCTAATGGACCTCACTCTGGGCCCCCGCCTCGGTGGGCACCAGCATCGCCGGTCCGGGCCTCGAGCGCCGCGGGCTGTCTAGAACTTAGTGTTTGGGGGGCGGTTCAGGTTTAAGGTGCCAAGTATTTCCTAACAAGCTCTCAAGCTGAGCCTTTCTTGCGACTTGTGGCCGGGCCCGGCTTTACGAGTGGGTAACCCATGTCTGTCAGCAAGGGCCACGGCAGCAGAGGGCCCACCCAGATTCCAAAAGACCACAAACACCATTCACTATTCCACATTCCCTCGAACTTTCAACCCCCATTCATATTAACAAACCCTAAAAACCCTAAACCCTTGGTGAAGCAAAGTCACGCGGTAGGCTGCGAAGTGATCGTCATCGCTTTGGGCTCAGCTGGTGCGGGCACCACTGGGAGCTGGGACACGCCGAAGTCGGCCATGACCTGCCCAGTTTAGGACATCTAGTTTAAGGACCCTTGTGCAAGTCTTCCAAAGCAGACGCTAACATTGCTTTTCGACTCCTCTCCCTCATTGACTGCCTCCGCAAGTGTCTTTACAAAGGAGCTGACGTCGAACACGTCCTCGCTGGGGCCGAGCAAAGCGCAAGCGTTGGCTGATCAAAGGTTTGTGGCTCTGACTCCGTAATCCCTACACTGCCGTATGCTCATGCCCAGCAGAGCAGGGCCCAGATTGAAACAGCACCTCGCACGCTCTCAACTGCTTCAACTGCTGATGTTCAGGCTCGTGGGCCCGTGATGGCCGCTGGACAACGCACACCTCGAGTCAATAGCTTAGAAGGCGCTCGGCAACATCCGAGTCAGCTCAATCCCCTTGCAGGTTCAGAGAGTTTAAAATTGCCTAAGATCCCGCAAAATCAAAATCCATTCATGGCTCCAGGGAAATGTTCTGCAACACGACGTCGGCATCAGCTGCACCCGGACGTCTCCTGAGGCAAGGCTCGATGCGCCAAGCTGCCTCTACAAGGTGCATCGTGGAATCATATAGCTGTTGGGAGAAGGTGCCACCATGTGCCTCCAGAAATACATAGAGGAGGCGGTGTTCTACCTCAATTCCCGGATGGTTCAAATCTGAGTTCTGTGTGGCTGAGCTGGCCTTTTGTAAGCCAGGGAAAACCAGAATTTACTCTCTGTCTTCCGCATAGCCATTGAAGCTCGAATGTCTTTACAAAGTTCCGCTGTAGAACTCCGCTGTAGGACTCCGATCCTGCAACAAAGAACCGTTCCTAAGCTGCTGGCTCCTTGCTGATGCCTGGCCGTCAGCAGAGAGCTTGGCCACAAAGCTCTCACCTGCGCACCGGCAAGCACTCTACAAACGTGTCTGCTGATAAGATGCAGCGATGACATCGTCACAGTGAAGGTGCAACGACAGCTGCCACATGCCACGCTGCGGAGTCGTGGACTGCGCTTGGATGAGCGACTTGCTTTGGTGCGCTTCTGAACACTGGAACTCCTTTGGGATTCTTCACGGTGAATCAATTACGAGACTCCTTGCAGCCGATACAGTGAGTCGACTTCAACACGGTAGGCCTTTGCAGTTGACGGCGTACGTTATGATGCCATGGGTCTGTCCCAGCTTCCGAGCCACGGTGTAGAAGGCCTCAGTTCTTGACAGGCATGTGTTGCCCTATGCCTGCAAGCTGAGGCTTCGTTCGGAACTTTGAGCCCTTTGCCCGGCCATGCGCCTTCTGCTCCAACACCTGAGTGCACCCTCACAGCCAGCTAGTTTCTCAGGAAAGCGGCACCCTCCGCAGCGAAGGTGGTGCCGATGGGAAGGTCGGTCCAATCCTCGTGCTTGGCTGTGTTTCTGGCTTCCGCTCGTCCTGCTTTGGCTTTCAGGTTTGGTTTTAGGAGTCAAGAGCCCATTGACATTGACATTTTTGGACGACATGCATGCCGAAGCAGGTCACGCAGAAAGAGCATACATCTACGTAACACAAGGCATCGACGGTGCTGAAGCCCGACTTGGCAAAGTAACGCAGACAATGAGGCCGGACATGTCGCGTTGCAGTTTGTCACTTCGCTCCGACGACGGACGAACTACTATAGACGATCACTGTCACCTGAAACTTAGTTCGGCCTTTGCCAAGCGCTTCTAAAGGATAAGGCCGAGAGATGCATTCCTCAAAGATGTATTCCTGCACAGTGCGGGACAATGATAGCCTGATAGCCCGATAGCCTTTACATCATGAAAGTCAAATAGAGGAGGCGCGCAGTCTTCGCCATCGCTGGGCTCTGTGACAGACTCCTGCAGACACAGCGAACACCGTGGGCAGATCTCAGGCAGTTTAGGGACATCTCTTCGATCATGAATCCTGGGGGGCTGGCGGTCTAAGGCTTCATGGATACATATGGCAAAGGTATACTTTTTTCCGTCTGCATCCAAGAACAACACATTCGGCAAGGCAGCACTCTCCGGAGCTCTTAGGAGAAGCCCCAGCTTCACCGGGGGCCTCCTCTGCAGCTTCCTCCGCAGCCTCCTCTGCCAAGAGGTAAGGATCAAACCTCAAACCAGACCGCAGGTTCCGGCCATTCAGGAGTCCCATGACGCTCAGGGTTGCAGGATGTTCCTCGACCATCAAGAATGGAATGATGCAGCATGGAGAACAACAGCCGCGAAGCGTTGCTGTGTCGTCTTGCTGCTCGGATTGCCTGCCAAGCGGAGAATTCCTAAAGTCTAATAAGAACAGAAGGGGGGTAAATCGAATCCAAGCCTGGACATCAGAGAGAGCACAAACAATCCAGAAACCTGGACCCCTCTCAGAAGTCTCACAACCAACTGTACACCTGGCCCTGCCCACCCTGAAAGCATCTGCAGATCTTTGCCTGTTTTCCGCATCTTCTGCCTCGCCTCAGGCGTTTCGCTTAAGCTCCACAGCTTAGGTCTTAGGGTCCTACAACCTATCAGTGAGATTCGGCCACTGCCCCGGTCTGCCCCCTTCCTTTGATTCCAGATCTCGGGCATTTTCGTAAAGCAGGCCCTAGAGCCCCAGATCAGCATAACTTCCGTCAAGTTTCCGTCCCAGCCGTCACGGCCCAGCAAGGCCTGTTTGTTGAACATCGGGTCTGGCTTCTGCAGGATGGTCAGGGATCGGGGATTGAGGGACATTCACGCACCAAGCATCTGAAAGACATGAAGCAGAATCAAAAAGCTTCTTTCCCACCAGTCCTCGTCGCTCTTGGTCGGAACCGGTGCCTTCGCTAGTCTGCGTTGCTAACGAGGGTTTGGGTCTGGCTGGGGTGAAGAGTCCACTAACCAATCAAGACCCACCCAGAACCTTTGAGAGCTTTTAAGAACCCTAGCACGTCCGATGGAGTCTGATATTGGCAATCCGTGCCGGTCGGTGCCTTCGGATCGACCTGCTCCGCCTGCTCCTTGTCGGCTTCCGCTTCCGCTTCCTCCGCACTCTCCTGTTCCAGGCTAGGAAGTGTAGCATGTACACTGGCAGCCCGAAGCGCTTCCTGCACTTTTTTCTCAAGCAACACTAAGAAAACATCAGTAGCTCGAAGTGGGCTCAGCGCGTCTCTGCGCCAGAGCTTGCTCCTCTTCCACAGCAATCGCTGGGCTGGTGTTGCTTGTCTCTTTCGCCTGCTTGAGCCTGTCATGGGTCAAGTCTACTCTGTCGCAGAGAATGAACTGAAGGGCCCGGCAAAGTTGGGAACAACTGGCCAAGCTTTGGGTTTAAGCTTATGGCAGCTTGTAGCGGCATTGAGATGTATTGAGGTAGCCACCAACACCTTCAAGATGAGACGCATGCCCCTTCTGTTTCAGACAATGCATGAGCAGAATTAGGAGTCGCGCAAGAGGCAAAACACATGGACAGCGAAGCTGCTTTCTTTACAGGGTTCCAGGTGTTGCCGGCACATTTGTGGGACGGGGGCCTCTCACACTTGGCGTATAATGACTTCAACCGTTCGGCCAGCTGTGGCGGAAGATTCGTGAGCGTCTCCTCAGCTTGAGGGGAAATGTACCACATCGGACGTGTCCCAACAGAGAGGCACAACATCCATCAGCACTGCATACATGTCAACTTGAAACTCTCCTCAGGCCGAAGTCATTTGGGGTAAACGACCCACCACCCTCTCTGAATGGCCGATCTGGTTAGGCCTTGTGTTGCTGTGGGCTTCCTTCTACGGCAAGTTCTACCCAAGGCACTCGAGGTTTGGGTCCCTTGAGTACCGATAGTGTAGTCACTATCTCATGCCAGTCGACCTGCACTCGCCCCCGAGCCGGGCCGTTTAGCGTTCACATTCGACCTGCACTACCCTGAAACCCCTGACCACAAACCCACAAGCACTTGTTGCAGTACAGCCGCGGCCCCGCCCTGGATCCTCCGGCAGCGGGCCTCAGTGTGGAGGGGGGGTTGGTTAGTCAAGGTTAGGTTAGGTGTGCCTAGGGTTCAGAGCGGGGTTTGGGGATTCGTCAGGCCAGCTTCTGCATTGAAAAGACGCGCCAGGCGTCAAGAACAACACGTGTAATCCAAAAACACATAGATGCGAAAGGTTCACAGGCAGGGGTTGACATGATGAAATATGAAGATGAAGCACTGGCCATGACTGGGTGGGGGAGCTAGTGTCATTGTTGCCAGGAGCTCTGATACTCGCATCCGCCACAAGGAGACACTCGTGAGACTGACCGAAGACCTCTGCCCACAACTCGCTCACACCACCTCACACCCTTCGAATACTAGTAGCCCAGGGAAGTCAATGTGATGAGCTCTTGGTACATCTTCGAAAGTATGTTCGACACGTTGCTCGCATCCTCGTTCTATCTTTCTCATAGCTCCGAAGAACGCCAAACGAAACGACAGTTCAGGAGAAACAAAAGCAATGTATTCACTAAGTGGTGGAATTCGTTCTGCATCTGTCGGGTCTCTCCTCACGCCCGAAATGTCATGAGAAAGCAATGCACGAATAGTCTTCAATGCGTGTCCGTTTGCCCAATTCGTCTTGTATTTTGCTTGGTTTCCATGCGAGGCCACTGCTAAAGCTATTTACGTCGGGGATTCAGGGCTTACCTTACAAGTGTGGAGGCCAGGCCGAGGCGGCCAGCACAGAGCACTCAAAAACCTAGCCGCTGGGCGTAATCTTCGCAACTTGGCTCTGAGAAGATCGCGAGAACTTCTTGCAGCCGATCTCCGTCTCCGTCCATGGCCAACACGCAAACCGCATGTTCCAAGCCTTGCAAAGCCTCGCCTGTACTGTCTGGGTCTGCGCGGCTCAGGCGCTGGCACCACCGCGTACTCCAGAAGGCTACAAGAAAAGAACAAAGCTTGGACATCAGGGTTTCGGGTTCAGGTTCCTTGCAACTTCGCGGCTGAGGACCCAGAGTTTTTGCATGATATTGCATGTACTGCACTTGAACTGGTCAACGGCAGCCTTTGGAGTTATGCAGCTGCCGAGATGCCTGCACTAGGAGTGAGAGTCGATCCCTGTAGCTGTGTAAGGGTTGGAAGAGGCAGCAGAGGAGACCCACACCTGGTTTTTGTCTGCTCCGAGCAATGCGGCGACAGATGCTCGACAATCAATTCCAAGATCGTCAGGCGCCAGCTCCGTCCTTCGGACAGAACGTGTCACCAAGGAGCTTCTCCAGTCACGGGACTGCGAGCACACCACTGTCTCCCAACCACAGCGCCCCCTCATCCTTGACCATGAACCCTGGACTGTGTAGATCGGGTTGGGCGCCGGCGCTAAGTAGGCTTTGCTGGGTTTGTTGCGAGTTGGGCTTGTCGGGGTTTGGGGGTGTGCTTGGGGTTTTGCAGAAGCTGCTGTGGGAAGACTTGGGTCTTCAGACTTGACCCTGCTACCGCTGCTAAGATGCTGAATACCTTTGGTATACAAGGCAGCCACATGCCTCGCGGAGCAATCATCAGAAGAATAAACCCAACCAATGACCATAATTCTCACCCTTGAGGACGATGACACTACAGGTGCGATGCCGCCGATCTGGAAAAATCTTGGAACTTCGACCAGCAAGGGAGAGGCCAAGCAGAGAAGAGAGACAGGGAGAGAGAAGGAGAGAGAAAGAG